CCTCACGTGCTCATCATCACCATCATCATCACCATCATCTTCATCTTCGTCATCATCATCATCATCGATGGTGGTATCATCAATGATATCACTATCAACAAAATAACAGCTAGCATCATTATCATCATCATAACAAAGAATCCTTAACCACAACCACCACCATCAATCATCATCACCATCTTTCATCATCATCATCATGAACAATGTCATTGGTATCATCATGCAACATGTCATTAACATATCATGTAATTATCATGATATCTTAATGATATCATGATAATTACATTATCTCGATAAGCTCATCAGGATGGAATTATCACAATGAGATACCGTTCGTAATACTATCCTACCATCATTACTATATTAACTTTATAACATTACGTTAACTACGTCACAACAGCATTTTCTCACAACACAAACAGCCCAAACAACACAACAACGCAAACAACACACACACAGCACAAACAACACAAACAACACACGTGTGTCAGAATGTTCTTTGAAGTTCCCCAGCAGCAGCAGCAGGGCAATATAAAATTGAGACACATGAGATTTGCATTCAATTCATTCCTCTTCCTCGCTTGCATGCCTTTCAATCAAACTTCACACTTTCCAGACGTGTTACTCCCTCGCATGAACCTTTCATTCAGAATCGCAGCTTCACTCACACACGCAATTACAACTTCACACACTTTCCAATTACACATATTATGCCTACGTACATGCTACTACACACGACTTCCGGTTGGATTTATCACGTGATATCCATTTATTTTATAAAAATTCACTTTGAATCACAAGGATCTGCTATTTATCATATTTGTCTTTGTCTTGCCTGAGAAATTATGTTTTAGTATTGCCTTTTAAATCAACCGGCTATGAGTTCAAGATTTTGGCTGAATGAAGCAACTGAGAATTTTTTAGATTTGAAATGAAATGTTAATGAGGAAAGAAGTTCTGCACGGCTTGCTGATCTCAATCGTCTTCAAAACTAACTGGTCCGTTTTCAATTGAACAACTTCTTAACATTAACATCATTTATTTTACAGCACCTCTGAAGAAAATTTTATAAATGCGACCCACAAATTTACAGTATAATACAATAAATAGAATGCAGCGCGCAAACAAACATCACAGACACAAGCAAACAAACACAACAGATATAATAAACCAACGATCATTTATTTCAGCACGCAATCCTCCTCAAATGTTGTACGTGCAGACATGCAAGCGCGTAACCTTTTAACATGAATGCGTTTGAGTTTTCCATACATTTGTGATACATAAACTTGTTTAGATAGGTAGGTGTGCGTGCTAGCTTGCATATTGTAACGATACAACAAGACATATAATATCGGAGAGGTGATACTTAAGTAGAATTTGAATTAAAGGAAAATTCAGAAGTGTGTTTACGTTTGTGTACTTGGATAGGTGCGTGTAAGTATATGCACGTGTGTTTAAGTAGCGTACGAATGCATGAGCGTACCCGTACGAGTGTACGTGCATGTGTGTGTACATGTTTCTGTACGTCTTCGGGTGAATGAATATGTTGGTGTGTGTGTGTGTACTGTATCTAGGAGCATGTGCGTTTGAATGTGCACGTGTATGTGCATGTTAAGATGCATAAATCACAATAGACAAGAAAGATTTAAACATTTCAAAAGTGGGCCAAAGATTAAAAACAAGATTTATACTTTTTTAACGAGATGTTACTTGTCACTATTTAACAATGCCTTCACACAATCATTATTAATATTGTAAACATTTGTCATTACACATTTCTGTACATACATACATATATATATATATATATATATATATATATATATACTTGTCATATATATATATATATACTTGTCATATATATATATATATATATATATATATATATATATATGAAGAGAGAGAGAACAAATAATGTATGTATTGTATAAGTTCAAGTTATGTAATGTTTGTAGTTTGTAGCTAACTACTTATATAAATACATACATACATACATTATCGGCTACACTGCTGCCCTTAAAGCGTCCGATTTCAAAAATGAAAAATACGTTTCATTAAACAATTTAAGCAAAATATTTCAACCCATTTTCATTGAAACATTCGGACCAACAGATAAGCACACATCATTATTTATTAGCGAATTAACAAGAAAAATAG